ATTCGTTATATATATATATATATATATATATATATATATATATATATATATATATATATATATATAATTTTAACTCTCTTAATTAACATTAATTTGAAAATAAAATCTAATTTATTTTTCAACCTGGAAGGTCTTGATTAGAAATAATTTAAAATTACCATTGATTTCGAAAAAATAAGGATATTATAATCTGAAATATATCAGATATAAATAATTTTTTTTTTTTTAATTTAGAAAAGCACAAATTTGATTTAAATTGCAGGTTTTATGTAGAAATATATTTTTTTTTACAAATTTATGTAAATTTTTATTTTTAAATTTAATGTAAAAAAAATTAATTAACATTCATTTTCAAAAACAAATATCTTGCGATATCATGCCTATGTGTGTGCCGTGTCCATTTAGGACGTGGCAGAACACGGCCCTCCACAAATGTTTCTTAGTTCTGTCACCTATTTAGCTAAACTCGTTAGGTCTGCTATTCGCTGTTTCTCTCTTCCTCTCTTTCTTTCAATGTGTCCTGTGAGTACCAAATTCTCCAAGCACGCTTTCCGCATTACGTGTCCCAGAAAATTCAACTGCCGTTTTCTGAAGTTTACTTTTTTGTTCCCATTTTCCTTAAAACTTCTCTTCGTTTACATGTCCCGGCGATGGTATTCTCCTGTAGAACTTCATTGCAGTTGCCTCAAGTCTCCACTTAATCCATGAGGAAATTGTTTAGCATTCACTGCTATATTGGAAGACTAATATCACATAGCAGTTGGGCATTCGTTTCTTTGTTTCTAATGAAAATTTTCTGTCTCTTAATAAATTCTTTACATTGTTGAAGGTATATTTTTCTATTCCAACACGCCAATGGATATATTTGCAAAATTTTCCGCCCCTTGTTACCCACCACTGTTGTTCTTGATTCGTTTTGACGTCTCCAGTTCATAAATCATATCTTGGGTTGTTCTTCCCGCTCAGAAGCATACGTTATGTCTTCTTACTTTGGGTAGCTATCCATTCTCTCCGCTTTCCTTTACGACATTATAGAGGAGTTACTACAGTTTATTTTCTGTGTTTGCAATGAACATGGTGCCATCTGTGTATCTTTTCGGGAAGATCCTACCCACCTAAAACGATTCCTTGTAGAACGTTACTTACGTTTAACACGGAGTACAGGTTAAATAAATCCGTCGAGAAGCAGCATCTTTGTCTTATGCTCCTTTATTTATTTATTTTTTTTATTTTTTTTTTTTTTGAGCGCTTGCTCAATTCGGTTTTATCCGCATGCAGGTGCTGAAGAGAAATAATTTTATTTTTAGCATTCTTTCGAGAAAATTATATTTCCTTTTGCAATGTCTTACTTACCTAATTAGCATTTTAAATTGTATTAGAGATTAAATTATTTTAATCTGAAAGTAATTAAATTCATCCCTCATTTAGCACAAATTAATCACAACTTGAAACGCCTTAAGTCGAAATACTTTAAATTTAATATTCCTCTGGAAATAAGGCAAATTTGTAAGCCGTATTGTTTTGTTTTTCTAATCATTTAACCCCAAGCAAGGCAATAAAGCAACTAAGACACAAGAGGATTACTGAGTTTGAAAAAATCTATAACAATAAAAGAATAATAACCAAGAAGACAGTAGCTAATGATTGACATTAAATTTAAATTTTTGAATATCAAAGTTGTCTGGAAAGCATAGAGCCGGAAGAGCGTCCCACAAACGAAAAGTGCGAGGGATTAAACTGTTAGCATAGAACGTGCAGTTGTGGAGATATATTCATTTATACGATGTGGTCATGAAATTGGGCTTGTGTTCCCGAGGAAAATCAGTACAAACAAACGTACCCAAAAACAATAAGAAAAAACATAATAAATTGTATGGTAATTTCATATAATTTTACTTATGTATTTGTGTGTATTGGTGTGTGTGTTTCAATTGTGATAATTTTCATGTTATAAAAGAGAGTAAGTCGTCCCGTAATATCACAAGTCCTATCACGGAGGGAATTTACACACGTGTTGTCATCCCGACGTCTCTTGGCGGGATATTTGTATTTCCGGTAGGAACAGTCCCTGTTGCATGCTGGGAGTAATTCTATTATTTGTATTTATTTAATTTATTTTAAACGAGGTTTACATTTTATTTTCTTTATAATTTTCATCATTATTATTATTTTATATTTTATTTATAATGCTAACAATGTTGCCACGTGGTTACATCTTGCTAATTCAAATGTAAAGTGATGAAACCTTGTTGCCAATCTTGAACTGCGCTTAAATTCATAAAATCTAGGCACCATAGCAGAATGTTCATCAGAACAATTAGCAAAAAAAGTATTTATAGAAAAGACTAAGGGAAGTTACATTACGGCGATGGGAAAGTGACTAAAGGCGAGATGCCATGTAAAGACCAATAATATTGCGGAATCTTCTTTGAATTTTATCAAGAATCCCTAAATATATAGCAGGAGCATCGCACTATATGTGGCAGCAATATTCAAAGCATGGACAAATGGTAGACTTATTTATAAGAGTGATTCAGGAGAAAAAATCTCAAGTTTCCACAGTGAACTAATTTTCTTGACAGCAGACCTAGCAATTGATTCAATATAATCATTCCACTTCATGCCAGCAGATAATGTTAACCCAAGAAGGCGCAATGAGTCACTCTCCCGGAGGTTAGCATCAGCCATGCTAAATGAATGAAGCAAGGGGACTCTAAAATGGTTGGAAAAATTCATAATTAACATTAATTAGGAAATAAATTATCTTGACTTACAAGGTGTCCGTTAAAAATATATTAAATTTTAATTAAGATTAAGTAAATAAAAAATATAAATAAAGAAATATTTCATCTTGTATGTTCTTGATATGTCCCGGAAAGGGATATATTTGAACGAAGTAGCTAAGTGGTTTCGGCTACTATAACGAAGTAGAATACGGTAGCAGTCATCGACTGGTACACGTCGTAGTCGCAGGTAAGAAGTGTAGATCAATGGCGTAGTCCAATGGGCGTCGTTATAGACTTAGCTCTCAGACTAAGACTCTTGACTCTCCTACACGTCCGTCGGTATTTATGACGGACACCAGCCAATCATATTATATTGAGGGGGGACACAGGTGTACGCATATTCCATTATATCAGTTCCTCAGTATAACTGATTCACTGATCTGTTTTTTACGGCTTATCAACACTTTCAGGCTACTTAAAGCCTGAAAGTTTTAGAATGTAAAAAAAAAATGAGATACTAAAGGTTTTGGTAATAGAAGTCGTAATAATTAACGCATAGCTGGAGGTAGACGAGGTGTATATCTACCTTTCCCAAGGTCATTTGCGCGTAAGTGAATATACCGAACCCAACTGGAATTAGAACTCGACTCTCCGATTAACAATTACGAGCCATTATCCATTACACCACCCGCACACCAAAGTTTGCAGCACCTGATGCTCCCAAGCGGTCAGCCATGTACGTGCTGACCAGGCTTGACGTTGCTTAACTTCAGCAATCGTGCGGGAATCGATGTCTCAACGTATATGACCGTAAGTTCTTCAGTAGAAATAATTTAAATATTAACTTTCATTTTAAAATAAATATACTTTTCATTTGCAAGGACTTGCGTAGCAATAATTATCAATTCCTGTTAGCGTTGATCTTGAAAGAAAACCATTTTATTTTATTTCTTAAAATTATTTTAGGTATAAATCATTTCTTATGAAAACAATAAAATCTGTCCATATGACTATTTAAAAAAATAGCCTTTTTTAGAAACTATGACGATATGACGATGCACAAATCGAGAAAATTCTATGCCACCATTAATAATTTTCGTGTCCTAAAAATGATTAAAATACATAACCATCTGAGATGACGCCTTTGATGATTTGCGCATGTCTCTTCGTTGCACAGGCAAAACCTCCATACATTTTCAAGATTAACCCTAAGCTATTTATCATAATTGACGTAAACGGGCGTAATATACAAACTTTATACAGGTGTATAGAAGAAATACTTTCTCACATAATAGTAAGATATTATTGACAATAGTGTCTTCATCTAGCTAATATCCTACAATTATGTGGGAGGTATTTCTGGGAGATATATGTGGGAGGTACTCTTGCCGCAACCTCTATATAATATGAAAAACACGATTTTAGCTATGGTTGATCTTATTGTCTCAAAACATGTTGATAATGAATTTAGTATATTCTTGTGTCTTATGCTAAATTTTAACTAAATTAGAACGTAAAATATACCATATTTTTTTCATAATATAAGCCGCGCCGATATAAAACGCGCCCTTATTTTGAAAACAAAGTTGTGGGGGAAAAGTTACAGTCGTATTTGAAAGATTTTCATTGAGCAAATATCCAATCTGACACTTTAAAAATTGGTATATATTTTTTCTAATCGGAAAAAAAACGCTCAAAATGTTAAAATGTTAAAATAGTGTAAATATATTAAAATGTCGCTTATTTAATTTGGTTCAAAACCAACAAAATCCTAATGGCTTTCAATTTCGTTTAGAAAGGAATGAGACATTTTATTATTGAACCAATATTAGGATCAACGTGAATGCCATTCTCGGCTCTTCCCACCATGTTTCTGATAACACATTTCTTGAATGACTTAATCACTATATCACTTATTTTCCCCACGAATTTTTCATCTACATGAAAACGTGAACAAGCGTCTCCATTTCTCTTTGTCATAGTTTTAGTTCGTTACACAATCACCCTGAAGAAAACTAAAAGAAATTAGTCTCTTCCCCCCACCCTTTTAAGTAGCAGGACTGAAAGTTCTTACCCCCACTCAAGGAGTGGTCGAGCGACTGCAGCTGGCGTTGAAGGATTTGCGGGGGTGTTCAAATACATAGGCCTACAGTAATTTTAATGCAGGGGTGTAGACAACCGAGCGATCGCTGTATTATTTTGTCTCGATTAACTGAAAGATCGGCCATATATCTGCTCCCGAGAGCTGGGAAAAAAAACAAACTTTTTTCCAACCCTATAGTAGATCGTAGTCAACCGCGAAGCAGCGAGGGACCGCGATGTAGCGAGGGACCGCGAAGGAGCGAGGGACCGCGAAGCAGCGAGGGACCGCGATATGATTTTTTTAATGAAAAGATCTGAAAAAACCGCGATAGAATGGAGCCGTGAATGTTGAAGCACGGAATGGGGAGGGACAAATATATTGGCATCTGATGATTTGTACGAAGCTTTTCAATTTAGGATTAACAAATATAGTTTTCCCTTAATAATAATATCATCATCGAAAAGGCTGAAATTTATGTAGAATTTTAAAAGATTTACAACTTAATTATATAATAATGTTAATTTAATTAATTTTTTAACGCCTAAAGCCCCCGTAGAACAACATTAGATAATTATCAATCTGTCATTAAGCTTTCTCTGTCTGCAAACGCCTTAAATAAATAGCTACTGTCGGGTTTAAAATGCATTTCTACGATATTTTAAATTTAAATTAAATGATAGTTGTTTCAAATCAGATTAATTATACTTTAAATCAGCTGATATTCCTAAAATAAAATTTCAGAAAAGTATATTTTATTTCTGGATTTCTTTTTAGTAGAAAGAATTACATTGCGATAAAAGACGACAAAAAGGGCTCTAATCTGCTATGTTAAGTAAGTAAAACTAATTCCAGTAAATTTAAATTAGTACTTATTTTTTAATATAGCAAAGTATTTTGTTTATTAGAAATGCTAGATTTAATCTATTAGCTTAATACAAGCTTAAAGAAAGATTTCTCAGTTTTTATACAAGCTTAAAGAAAGATTTCTCATTTTTTAAAATTAATTTGGTTCCTAAATAAAGTTTTTATTTTTATTTATTTTTTTTTTAGGGTAACTCCTTTAGATTAAGCTATCCTCTACAAGACCGCGTAAATGGTTTTGAACTCAATCAAGGTTAGAATGTCATGACTGATCTATTACAGTAAATATATGTCAGTAATAACCAAAATCTTAATTTTTAACAAACGAAATAGAAAAAAAAAAACATGTCAGAAGGAGTCAGGTACTTAGAGCGGTACAAGAAGCCGACCATTTTTCATTGTATATTTGGCAACGGATCGTATTTTTGAGTTCCACATGAAATCTGGAGGGAATATGTCTCTCAAGAAACGTTCAAAATATGAACCCTCATTGATAGTGCAAGATCCCATTATATAAATCTTTATGAAGCGGAAACATCAGGATGGATGACCAATACAAGCTTCAAAATATTTATCTCGTAAAATCTTCTTTGCTTTTAAGATTATATTCGTAGAAATGGATAGTGCTTGGCTTCTCTTATCAAGAAGGCAATCGCAGACTTTATTTTCAAAATCTTTTCCATCGAAGTTTGTGTTTATAAATTTTATTCAAAACTTCGATGTATAGGACGCAAATATGTTTTGATTTCAGTTTTGGAGGTAAAATGCGTTTTATACACTAAATATTTATGTAACCGGGCCCGTAGGCTGTGTAAACTTCTTTTTGCTTTTATTTTAGTTTTTTTATTTAATTTAGGCGAACAAATAGCTAGTAAAAAGCACGGGTAAGGCTTTGACACAAAAGAGAATCCCTACAGGTAATATTGCAGGAAAGACGGCCATTACTGTAGCTATCGTTTGAATTAAGATATGCAAGAGATTCTGGTAGACGTGTGGATATTATTCTAATATGTCTCTTGTTCATATGTTTGACGGCCATATTCCTATGCTGTACTTGATTTTCATTGGTTAGGATAAGAGGCAGAAAAATCAAAGCAAGAGAGGATAAAATAATGGTTCAAAGATTACATAATTGTGGAAAGAGAAAAAGAAAGAGAAGGAGAATGCGACGCGAAAGTGTTTTTATGTGAAGACTTGTGATAACTGGAAATAAATAATTATGGGTAAAATAAAGTGAAGATTCATCAATGCGAAAGAAAGAAAGAATTATTAAGATGAGGAAAAATAGAGATAAATATTAGAAAATAGAGAGGAACAGAGTGAGGAATTAGAGAACAGAGACATCAGGCTATATTTTAGAGAATAAAGAAGAACGGAGTAAGAAATTAGAGAATACAGAAAACAGATAGGAACAGACAGATAATATAGAAGCCTGAGACATAGGGATATATGTTAGAGAAGAGAGAGGAATAGTGCGAGATATTAGAGAATAGAGAAAATCAATAGGAAGATACACACACACACACACATACATATATATATATATATATATATATACAAGTATATGATTGGTGATGAAACAAAATGGCTATTTTTGTAGTGATTTTATGACATATTTATGTTATAATTTTTAAATAAATAATTATATATATATATATATATATATATATATATATATATATATATATATATATATTGAAATGGACAAAGTCAGACACTTAAAAAATGTCTTAATATATATATATATATATATATATATATATATATATATATATATATATATATATATATATATTGTAGAATACTAGAGCGAATAGAGGATTAGGGAGGAATAGTGTTGTGACCAAGTAAATTGTTAAAGAAACAACAAAACAAAGGTTGCAGATATATCATATATTAAACAGTAAGTACAACAAAAAAGTATTACACGATTAGTGAGTGTGTGTCGGTTGACCCGCATTCAAGTTATCTGACTGTCCCCCAAGGCCTTCTCTCCTACTAATTCTATAGTAGGCGGAAAAGTCCAACATAAACTCTTCAGGGGGAGGACACCACAACAAATAGAGACAGACATATTATAAAATAGAGAGATAGAGAGATATATGTTAGAGATTAGCTAGGAACAGTGTGTGATATTACAGAATAGAGAGGCTAAAGAGGAATATATATATATATATATATATATATATATATATATATATATATTTTATAGAATACAGAGATATAGGGATATATGCTAGAGAATAGCGAGAAACAGAGTGAGATATTAGAGAATAGAGAGAATCTATAGGAATATATAGAGAGAGGTATTATAGAATGCAGAGACATAGGGATATATGTTAGAGAATAAAGAGTAACAGAGTGAAATATTAGGGTATATGGAGAATAGGTAGAAATTGAGAGATATGTTAGAGAATAGAGAGGAAAAGAATGAGAATAAAGAAAATAGAATCCAGACATATTCTTCCACTGTTTAAACAGCAGACGACTATTGAATGAAATTCTTCCCTAACGAAATTATTCTTATAGTAAAATTAAAGCAAATATAGTGATTTTCATCTATATATAATCCGCACAATTTTGTTAAGATTAATTGTACAAGGTAACCAAAAAAGTTCTGTCCGTTTTTTAATTAGTCATTGAATGAAGTTGAAAATATATACAAAATGCGTGTTTGGACAGCTGGAAGTAGGAACATCAGACGTTATAAAAAACACGCGCACCGTGCCCGGCCATCAGTTATAAGCCGGACAGCTATGAGAAGGGTGGAAGTGTCTAGAGATCTTGTTCGGGGCTGTTTGCTTTACGACATCAAAGTGGGCTTATCAGCAGCTGCATCAAGCCGCCGCATATGTCAAGCGTTTGGGGATAGTGCTGTGGATGAATGTACTGCAAGGCGTTGGTTTCGAAAATTCAAGTCGGGAGATTTGTCTCTCCATGATGAGCCTCGCAGTGGACGACCACAGGTCTTGAATGACGGAGTCCTGAAGAGGACAGTAGTATAACGTGTGGTGAACTTGCAAGACAGTTCAACGTTTCCGATGAAACAGACTTCACCTGCACCGCCTAGGTAAGACGTACAAACTGAGCAAGTGGGTTCCGCAGACGCTGTTGGAGGTCCACAAGGGACAACGAGTGGCAGCCTGCGTATCGCTGCTTTCTCACCACCGTACCGCATCCTTATTCAATCGTGTGCTTACCAGTAATGAAAAGTGGGTTCTGTACGAAACTCCCAAGCGTTCCTGACATTGGTTGTCTCCTCAGGATGCTGTCCCTCACACCACAAGACCACCTATGCACCCATGCAAGATTATGCTTTGTGTCTGGTGGACAGGTCGTCAAGTGGTTCATTATGAACTGCTACCAACGGGCCAAATGCTCACTGTAGACCTATACTCGCAGTAATTGAAACTTGTGCAACAGGCATTGTGCCAGGAGCCAGCACTGGTGAATCACAAAGGTGTGCTTTTCCTCCATGACAACGCTAGGCCGCATGTCGTGTTTGTGGTCAGGGATACCATACAGCAACTTGGGTGGGAAACTTTGTGCCATCCATCTTATTCACCTGACCTTGCACCATCCGATTACCACCTCTTCCACTCCCTGGATAATCATCTTCGTGGGAAATCCTTCACCAATGAAGCAGACTTGCGCAAAGCCCTCACGGACTTCTTTGCGTCAACCGCCCCCCACCCCAGTTCTACCGCAAGGGCATTGAACAGCTGGAGACACGTTGGCAGAAGGTGCTGGATGCTGATGGCGATTACTTCGAAGACTAAATATAAGTTACACATACTGTGAAGCGTTTTCTTTTTTCCTTTAAAAACCGACAGAACTTTTTTGGTTACCTTGTATTTTGTTCTTAAATTTGATAGGTTATTGGTAGCTGGTCCATGTAAGGAAATAATTACAGGTGTTTATAATTAAAAAAGACAACCCAAGTCCTTAATTATTTTGGGCAGTTTAAGAAATAAAGCATATAGATTAAGAATTTCTGGTAAGGAAATATTGAATAAGACTTCATGCAACTACAAAAAGAAAGAATTTAAATGACAATTATGTGGGTGAAGAAATATCTTGTCGCAAAATAAGATGACTTGTATATTTCTCCTTAATAAAAAAAGTCATTTTGTCAGCCATTTTGCAATTAGAATACTGATGGAACGCAATATTCCACTCAACGTAGGCAAATATTTTTAGTGTCATACTAAGTCGGGCTTGCTACATATCAATGCCCAGTCTTTTCTCAGCTGATATATATATATATATATATATATATATATATATATATATATATATATAAAGTGAACATTAAAGTCAACACTT